ATAAAACTTCATTAAAATTAATTTGTTTTCTCCACTTTTGTACAATGAACTATTGAGCAAACTCACTAGCAGTCTCAAAACAAAGGGATCAATCAGTTCCAGGATTGCAAGTTCACTTCTCCAGCTCCCTCTCCAGCACCCAAACACACTATTCGGCACTAAGGAACTCCTAATTGCCCTCGCCCCTACAGCAACTTGACAAGTTTCTTCGCTGTCAAATCCCCAATATCTCTCTCCACTCCCTCGCTCAGTGTGGTGCCTTACCCTGTTTTTCCGAGAAAACTGAAAGCTATGATTTCCTTCTTCTTCACATCAATGTTCTGGTTCACCCTGCTCCTCTCTGGTCTCCAAGGACATAATCGTCCTCGTTTTACCTGTCTGCCCTACCACGTTCCACTCCAAGTTGAACCAGTCTGATTCCTCACTTTCTTTCCCACTCTCTGCCTGCTGTGCGCCTTGGGCTTTTCTCCACTCACTTCTACTCCTGGCCTCCTCACCAGAAACGACTTCTTTCACTCATTTCCATATTCACACTACAGTTGTCCCTCAGTATGCGAGGGGGATTGGTTCCAGGAACCCTGAGGATTCTAAAATTCTTAGGTGCTCAAGTCCTCTCAAAGTGGGCCTGTGGGACCCAAGGCTGCGTGCAGAGTGAGGACTGTATAACAAACCTTCAAATTATGCACAGAAGCACAGACCAATACAACATCGTATTCATTCTCCTCTCACCCCCAAAGCATGTAATGTGCCTCCTGTGGTGTGAATATGCGTTATCCTTCAAGTCTTTTTATCTGTGTTCTTCCCCCCAAATTATATTTATAGGCTATTTTAGGGCTGGAACTGTCTTCAGTCTCCCCAGATGGAAGAGTCTCCCATTTACAGTGACATTCAAATATTTTTTGATAATGGAGTGGTATTAAGTTTGCTCAAAAATTAACTTTTCTATGACCCCCCACAATACTTGTTACTATACTACACATAGTGAACCTTTCATGTGCATTTATTTAATGTCTGTATTTTTCTCACCATTTATTCACACAAGCCTTATCTAATTGAAAGCAAAGTCTTCTCTTCCAGGAGGATTCTGCCCATTTACTTGTAATGGTAATAGGCAGTCACCTCAAACTGGTGTTTTCTGGGGAGGACGACAGTTTAAAAATAGGCTTGAAAGCTCCACAGACAGGATTCAGAGAATCAATCCTTTAATACAAATATCTGAAGTCACCTGCAAAAATGTGTACATGTGCTACATTTTTCAGGGGAGCAAATCCATACTTTAATCAAATTTATTTCCCTCCTTAGGCCCTCAAGAATAAGAATGACCAGTTTCCTCAAGTCGTTAAATATGGAATCACCACATAGCCCAACAATTCCACTCAGATATATGCCCAAAAGAAACGGAAAACATATGTTCACACAGAACCTTGTAAACAAATATTCATAGCAGCATTATTCATAGAAGCCCCAAAGTGTAAATAACACAATGCCCACTGATGAATGGATATGCAAAGTGTGGCATATCCATACTACAGAATAGTATTCAGCCACAGAAACTAATGAAGTACTGACTACAACACAGATGAACCTTGAAAACATTATGTGTGAAAGAAGCCAGACACAAAAAGCCACGTATTGTATGACTCCAAGTTTATATGAAATGCCCAGAATAGGCAAATCCATAGAGCCAGAGTACATTAGTGACTGCCAGGGAATGGAAAGAGAGTGAATAGGGAGTGACTGCTAATGGGAACTAGGTTTTTTTTTGGTATGATGAAAACATTCTGGAATTACAGTAGTGATGGCTGCACAACTTTGTGAACATACTAAAAAAACACTTTAAAAGGGTGAATTTGTGGTATTTGAATAAACAATAAAAACCTCCTCCTCCCCAGCAATATGCTTGACATCTTTCACATCATCCTTCTAAACCTAAACTCTAAGCATGCACACTAAAACTCAACAGTGCTCCCAACCACCTCCTTTTTCTTCAGGTTCCTAATTTACATGTAGTTACTCAGGCTAGAAAATTTCAGAGACATTTCCAATCTCTTTTCTCTCAGTTTGAACATCAGTCGGTCATCAATGCCAGCACTTTTTTTTTTCCAACAAAAAACTACATATTGTTGAAAATGTAATTCCTGTCAGACACTTACGCTAGATGATCTACAAGTATCTTTAATTTTCACAACACTTCTGCATTTTACAGAGGAGAATGCTGTGGCTAAGGAGATTTAAGTACCTTGTCCTTCAGTGTTTCTTCCACCAATCTATCCTCCATCCTTCAGCTGCAGTGATCTTCCTTAAAGCAGTGATCCCCTACCTAAAGCTCCTTAAAGGCTTCTCTCACAAAGTCCAGAGTCCCTAATTTGGGATAAGGTGCCTTCAGGATCCCTGTCTCTTAACATTCCTTACACCAACTTCTTTGAATTCCTGGACTCTGAGTTGCTCTTTCTCCTTCTGCCTCTGGGCTTGCCTCGGGGTTCCCTTACTCATTCACTCGACAAATAGGTATTAAGAGCCCACTAGGAGTCTGACAGTGGAAACAGTGGCTGGCTTTATTTTGGGGGGCTCCAAAATCACTGCAGATGGTGATTGCAGCCATGAAATTAAAATACGCTTACTCCTTGGAAGGAAAGTTATGACTAACCTAGATAGCATATTAAAAAGCAGAGACATTACTTTGTCAACAAAGGTCCGTCTGGTCAAGGCTCTGGTTTTTCCAGTGGTCATGTATGGATGTGAGAGTTGGACTGTGAAGAAAGCTGAGCGCCGAAAAATTGATGCTTTTGAAGTGTGGTGTTGGAGAAGACTCTTGAGAGTCCCTTGGACTGCAAGGAGATCCAACCAGCCCATCTGAAAGGAGATCAGTCCTGGGTGTTAATTGGAAGGACTGATGCTGAAGCTGAAATTCCAATACTTTGGCCACCTGATGCAGAGTTGACTCATTTGAAAAGACCCTGATGCTGGGAGGGATTGGGGGCAGGAGGAGAAGTGAATCAACAGAGGATGAGATGGCTGGATGGCATCACCGACTCGACGGACATGAGTTTGAGTAATCTCCAGGAGCTGGTGATGGACAGGGAGGCCTGGTGGGCTGTGATTCGTGGGGTCACAAAGAGTCCAATAAGACTGAGCAACTGAACTGAACTGAGGAGCGTGACATTGTATTGCTACTTGGGCAACATTGTGAATAAAACAGATATATGTACTGCCCTCAAGGTGTTTAAGGTCTAAGGGAAGACACAATAACAAACAAGTAGTTACAGATTGTGCTAAATGCAGGAAGCAGGATGCTGTATTACAGAACACAAACACGGTTAGGGATCAGGGGAAAACTACAATGACTGTTTTAGATGGGTTAATCTGGTAAACTTTCAGATGGCGACATACCTTAAAATATGAAGACTAAGAAGCCAGTTATGTGAAAAGCAGGTAAGACAGAAGGGGTGGTAAGTGACAAGAGGTGCTCCTAGAGACATCAGCAGAGCCCAGATCAAAGATTTCTGTAGGTCATGGTTAGGAGTTTGGATTTTAATCTAAGTTCTTACTGCAATGGATTTCATTGAAGACTTTTAAGTAAGACAGTGTCACTTTTGCCACTGAATAGAGAAGGGTTGGAGGGGCACGAGAGAAGAAACGGGGACACATGGCCTGAAGATACAGCAGTGGTTTAGGTGAGAATTGTGGATGATTTGGACAATGGTGTGATGGTGAAGGAGGAAAAGAGCAGATTAGATGCAGAGCTGACCTGACATGCAAAGTCATCAGCTCAAAGTGATGAAGAGATGAAAAGAGGATATACAGAGTTGGAGAATCCTCACTGATAAAAGAAAATAAGGTTACTACAAGAACAGAGGATCACAAGGTCTCAGGTTCATGCTGAGTGAATACTCAAGAGGTAGACTATTTTCGTTTTATAACATCAACTTGCCCAGGACTTCTCCCAGCAAAGTTCAGCAATACAGGTTCAAGTGCAGAGGGCAAAAGTTTGGGTTCATCCAGAGTATGGGTTTTGTCAGAGGAGTAAAAGGCAAGCAAGGACAAGAGAATAGTGTATTTTCAAGAGAAAGATCAGAATAATAAACTCTGACATGCACTCTAAACTAGATAAGGGGATACAGATAGACAGAAAATGTAACAATGGGCTGGAGGTACAGATAAAGCTCAGGAACTCTTTGGGGTGCATAAACAAGGGAGTTATAAAGGCAGGAGATTGTGGTCAGATAGTAAGAAATTGTAATTTGCTGATTCGGCTTGGAATGGTCAGCTCTTCCTCTAGACAAACATGACTATTTGATTACCAATCATATCCATCTTATGCTTTTCTGCTCCCTGTCTTCCCATGACTCACAGCTCCACCCCCAGCATAACCTCCTAAGTTTGTCACTGTTTCATCAAATGATAAAGGCCCACCTCAATCTATTCCCTCCTTGAAGTATTTATCTTTTCCCCACTGGCATCTTTCCTGATGACAATCCTCACTCAGTATGCACTACTGAAGTATTCATTTTACCAAGCATTAGTCACTCTTTTGCCCTTCCAGACCCCTCTACTCAATTGGGGAAAGGCATTGTTACATACAGTCAAAGGTCTCTGGATCCGTGGCAGTACCCAGAACAGTGCCAGGCATGGAGCAATCATTCAAATCCTAATAGGGATCTTAGGCTCACCAACCTTCAAACCTTATTCGTTCTCTAAAGCAGGATTGCACTGAAATCATAATCCTGTTCACTGAAGTCCAAGATAACCCCATGTGTCTCAAGGGTGGTTCAATCCACTGTAACCTTCACAACACCCTCATGGGTGAAACACTTGTAGGATGGAGGGAAACTGGACCAGTCGACCTAAAAGCTGGGTGCCACAATTTGAACAAAGTCACGTTTATTAGAAAACAGTTTTCCTCATAGCTTACTGCTAGGCCTTAGAGACAAACGGTCATATGAGAGGTGTCAAGAAGACAGAGGATTACAACCTCTTGGTCTGACCTGCCTACTACCTACCTTCGTCCTCTCCACCTCCCGATGCAGAGTCCGCATTAGTGATCGTCCCGGGGCTTACTGCCATGGCAAGCACTGCACGGGCTCAGCCCAAACCAAAAGAGAAACGGAGCGGGAACCGGTCTGAGAGAGGCCGAAACTCTGGCGGCGAAGCCTCAGCACAGGAAGGAATCGCAGCGGTTGCTACCGAGCTCTTCCGGAAGCTGCCCGAGCTTGGACGTCACGTGATGGGGAATGGGCGGGGCCACGCAGGTTTGTTTTGATTCAGGGGTGCTTGAAATGTATGCACGTGGTCTCGGTTGTGGCCCTTCTTACCTTCTCCAAACCGTTGTCTGCTTTTACTGAAGACGTTTCTTGGCTTCGCTTCTGCTTTTCCTCGTTTCTTAGTCTGGTCCTTACCTTGGCGCTTTCCTCCTCCCAACGGTATTGGAGTTTTAGGGAATGGGTTGTTTTTTTTTTTTTGTGGCGCTCAAGGCAGTGGAAGGTGGTGGCTCTGCCTTTTCTTTATTGTGCAGTCACTCTTAGCCTTGGATACCAGGAGAGTTCATGCTTCTCTTCCCCGTCTCTCCCCATCTCTCTTGTCCTTCTGGCAGCAACAAGACTCCACCTGGGTTTCGTGGCTGCCGGGAATGTGAGCCTCAGGCTACCGTGCTTTAATTGCGTTCCTTGTGACTGATTTCCGACCCTGAACAAGCCATGTCGCTTGACTTAGATTTTCAGGACACTAACCGTCAGCTGTCAGACGTCAGCTGTTTGGATTTGTATATCAAAATAAATGCAATTGTTGCCTGCTTGATCAAGAGATCGACAACTTCCCGTCTTCTCGTTTACTCTTCATTTAGTCAAAATCATAATAACTGGAGATGGATCTAGGTTATTTGGGGGCAAAAATCTTTCAGGTTTAATAAATATATCTTTATTGCCCTCCTAATAATGACAGGCTAAAGAGTAGAAAGATATCTATATCTTCTATATATGAACTAAATTGACTCGTTTAAAATTTCCTCGTTGGATATGTAAAGCACTGAAAAGTGTCTGATTAAATAAGACAGTACTTACTGTACATAAAAAACGATTTTCATGCGGCAATCTTTCCTACTGCGCGTCAGTCTTAATCTATCTTCCGCTCTAAATTCTGAAGTTATAAATCCTTCAGAATTGAGAATTAACCTAATATAGAAACAAGCATTAGCTTAAGTGACGGGAGATCTTCGAGTTGTTTACTGGGCACATGACGTAAACTTGGACACTTCCTCCAACAATCCAGGTTCCTCGCCCAACCTCCTCTGTACAGCCTGTCCGGGAGTTCCCTTTTCCCCAGGCTCAGCGGCGCTCCTCCCGATCGTTCCAGCGCCTCCCGGTCCGCGCTCTGGGACCCCGGCTCCACTCCCTCTCTCGCCCAGGTTGCCTCTCCAGCCCCAGAAGACAGAGCACCTCGCGTCCCGCACCCCAGCCCCCTCCTCTCCGGTCTCTCCTGCCCCTCCTCTCCGCCCGGGTCCGGCTAGCGCGGCGCAGGCGCAGCAACGCGGCCGGGAGGCCCAGGGCGACCGAAGCAACCTCTGCCTCCGCTTCGCCCGGCAGTATCCCCGCGGGGCTGGTCGGCGGCCATCCGGACCGCGCAGGGCACTGGCCCCGCGGGCCGCGCGTCGAGATGGGCTCGGGCTGGAGCAGCGAGGAGGAACGGCAGCCCCTGCTAGGGCCGGGACTCGGGCCTGCGCCGGGGGCTGCTTGGAGAAGCCGGGAGGCGGCGGCGGCACTGCCCGCGGCAGTCCCGAGTCCCGGGCGCGTGTACGGGCGCCGCTGGTTGGTGCTCCTGCTCTTTTCGCTGCTGGGTTTCGCGCAGGGCCTGGTCTGGAACACCTGGGGCCCCATCCAGAACTCGGCGCGCCAGGCCTACGGCTTCTCCAGCTGGGACATCGCGCTGCTAGTGCTGTGGGGCCCCATCGGCTTCCTGCCCTGCTTCGCGTTCATGTGGCTTCTGGACAAAAGAGGTGAGGGGGTCCCGGGAGCTCCGGCCGGCGATGTTACTCCTGGGGGAGCCGCCTCCCTCGACTTCGTCTTAGGGGTTATATGAGGTGATAGAGTGTTACTGGCATCCCATGCCTGACTAGGAACCCCCCATCCCCAAAGCGACAAATAAGGGAAGATTTCTTTGCAGATACTGGTTTTTTGTTTGTTTTTTTGTTTGTTTTGTAAATCAAGTCCTATTATGCAACAGCAGGGATTAAGCGACTTTTGGATGTTCAAATTTCTGCATGTGTGGATATAAGAGCATCCCATGCACATGCTGTGTGTGTTTTCTACATCTGACAAAAATGACTGATGCTTTGACTTCAAAGGGGTTTGGGGGTGTTGAGGGTGACAGGCAGAAAATAGAGTGATGATGTCCAGATACAAGGAAGTAATGAGTTGGCTTTCTGTAATAGATGACTCCAGCCCAGGAAGAGCTGTTGGGGAACTCAGGACCTGACGCTTTGGTTTCTGGAAAAGGGTGCACAGCAACTTTAAAGTGTGTGTATGTGACCAGCTGCAAGTGCCAACTGAGATTTTTAACTCTCAGATAAAGCTTACAGATGAAGACTCTCTTTTCATAGAGAATGCTCTAGACAGACGTCTCACTACCACTTGCCAGTGTGATTCTGTGAGAAAAATGGTCATAGGATTGAATGTTAAGACGTTGAACTATACCACAAAAGTATGGATAAATGACTCATGACCAATGTGATGTATGTGCTAAAAAGTAGAGGACAATTTTAGGCACAGGAGTGTAGTATCTAAAAGAAGACAAATAGTTTGGCATGCTTCTAATGTTCAGTTCTGGGCATTAATTTTTGAAAGGCCATTGGCAAAGTGGAGTCCTTTAAAAGTTGTGTGACAAGAATGTAAAGGGTATAAAAATCATAATATGTCAAATGAAGGGAATTGGGTGTGTCAAGCTTCAAAAAGAAACTTCAGGCAGGATATAAATGTGTGGAAATCAAGTAAATGAGGAATTAGACTTAATGTGCATAGTTCTAGAAGGAAGAACTAAACTGAATGAAGTTACAAGAAGCTGTAACTCAAAGGAATAAAGGAAAGAACCATCTTACAATGAAAGTATCCAGACCTGGAAAGTGTGGAACTTCCAGGCAGAGATATGTGCTAGTTGCTGAGAAAGTTTCTTGTACTGAATGGGGTTTTCTTTGTTTTGATTTTTTTGCTTTAAACTACATTAGACTTTATTTGGATTTTACTAGTTTTTCCACAAATGTCTCTTTTTTTTCCCCCCTGTTCTAAGATTCAGTCAAGGGTCCCAAATTACATTTAGTTGTTATTTCTTGTTAATCTCCTTCAATCTGTGACAGTTCCTCTGTCATTCTTTACCAGGTTGGATAACTTAAGGGGAAATGCTATTTTATTGTTTCTTTTAACTTTTTAACAGGAGCATTTTTCAATATTATTCCATAAATTTAGCCAACTATATTTTTAAGGTAGAAAAATGCTAATTTTTGTCCTTTTTATTATAATTATATTCACTATATATATATAGGATAATTACACATATATAATTCCCACCCAACTTAGTAGAAGACCAGTTATCTTTCTGAAATTGCTTTTGTACTCTCTCACTTTTCATTTTCCAGCAAGGAGATAAAAAGGGACTACCTAGTGAGATCATAGAAGAGCCAAGAGTGGGTGTGTGCCCTGGAAGCCAATGAAGAAAATTTCAAGAAGGAGATAGCACCCAAATGTGTGCTGAGCTCTCGGGACATAGCGCTCATGGAGCCTCCATTCTAATGAGGAGGTCCAGGCACCAAAGGACTTATAGTGTGTCAGATGGTGATCAATGTTTTAGAGAAAAATGGAAGTAAGGCAGGGGAGAAAGGGGGTGTGATTGGGTGATACTTTATCTAGACTGTCAGGGAAGGCCTTACTGATAATGTGTGTTTGAGCAGAGACCTGAGGGAGAAAGGAAACACACCTTGGCAATTCTGGACAAGACTCTTTGGGACAAAGACAAAGGTCATAAACTTGTTTGACATATCTGAGAAAGATACATAGTAGAGAAATAAATTGTAGAAGGACTGTTGGGCAGCTCAGAGGGCCTACTTTAAGTGACTGGGCTTTAATTTCAAATGAGGCTTGTGTGGCTGAGTTGAGCCTCAAGGCCACCGTAAGGATGCTGGTCATGAAGATGTGAGGAGGGCTCACTCTACTGGAAGGTTTGAGCAGGAGGGTAAAATGATGACTGTTAATATCTTGAGAACAAGAGTCACAGCAGGGAGACCAGTTGAAGGGGTAATGGACCAACTCAGATGGGGCTGGTGATGACTTCCAACTGGGGTGAAAGTAGTGAAGGACTTGAGAAGTGGTTGGATTCCAGATACATGTTGAAAGTAGACTTGCCAGTATTCTTTGATGGATAGGCAGAGGTGAAGTATGAGGAATTTGGAGGATTCTAAGATCTTTCTCAACTTTTTTTTAGCATAAGTAATTGGGAGAATCAAGCTGCAGTTTACTGAGATGTAGAAGATTGTGGGAGGAGCATTTTGGGGGTAGATCATGAATCTGGCCTGCAGGTCAAGAATTTGAAATGCCTATTTGAAATAGGATAGGCTGAGCTGAAGAACTGATGCTTTTGAACTGTGGTGTTGGAGAAGACTCTTGAGAGTCCCTTGGACTGCAAGGAGATCCAACCAGGCCATCCTAAAGGAGATCAGTCCTGAATATTCACTGGAAGGACTGATGTTGAAGCTGAAACTCCAGTACTTTGGCCACCTGATTCGAAGAGCTGACTCATTTGAAAAGAGCTAGGAAAGATTGAGGGCGGAAGGAGAAGGGGACTACAGAGGATAAGATGGTTGGATGGCATCACCGACTCAATGGACATGAGTTTGAGTAAGCTCCGGGAGTTGGTGATGGACAGGGAGGCCTGGCATGCTGCAGTTCTTGGGGTGGTAGAGTCGGACGTGACTGAGTGACTGAACTGAACTGAGCTGAAACTGTCAGTTTATTGCCTGAGCAATAAATTTGTGTGTCATCAACCTGTAATGGTATTTAGTCAGAGAAGGCAATGGCAACCCACTCCAGTACTCTTGCCTGGAAAATCCCATGGACGGAAGAGCCTGGTAGGCTGCAGTCCATGGGGTCGCTAAGAGTTGGACACAACTGAGAGACTTCACTTTTCACTTTCATGCATTGGAGAAGGAAATGGCA